ATTATTTTTAGCAATTTGCTTTTATTGAGTCATTCCAAACCATTCAAATTAGTTTTCATGGACACAATTCTCTTTTTTGCATTCATATTTCATTAATTTACACAATACTTAGTGTACATAATTAAAATTAACAAGTAAAACAAGTAACGTTATACAATTCCCTGGTAAGAGCTAAAGTGCATACGTGCAGCTGAGAGTGTCCAGTGTGCTGTGGGCAGCAGGCAGCAGGCTTTTCAGAGGGAACTAAGAGAATCTAGCTGAAGACTCAGATGAGTGATGTTGGATATGACAGTTTTAACTGGAGTGTTCATCCCATTTTCCAGACGAGGCCATTGAGGCTTAGAAAGTTAAGAGACTTGCCCATTTTTAATAAATGACTCATATGAAAAGCTCAAACAGATACAGGGAAAAGAAACCTAACACCTAAAGGTAAGAGAAAACCTTTAGGAGGAGGAGATGCTTGAGCTGAGTTGAGAAGGAAACATGAGAAAATCAGGCAAATAAGAGGAAGAGTATTTCAGGCAGAGAAAACAAAGGTAATAAAGTCTAAAAATGTGAAAAAGGCAGAATTTAAAAAATAAATTTGCTTGACTAGAGCCTAGGATGTATGTGAGACAGGGATGGGAGAAGGGTAGATCCTAGGGGTGGGAGAGGCTGGAGATCCAGACTAGGATGATTTTCTATGCTAAATAGTTTACAGTTACTTACAGGTTCCTGGGAGCCGGTGGACAACTTTCCTTGGAGGAGCAACACAATCAGATTTATATTTTAGAAAGATTATTGACTTTACAGGATGGACGATGAGCCAGGAGAGACCAGAGTAAAGGAGACTACCTGGGAGGCTACTTCAGGGAAATTAAGGGGACAGCGATGAGGACATGAATGAGAAACTCAAAAAAGAAACTATTCCAGATAATCTGAAATTTCAGTAATCTGACTGTATACCTGGAGTGGGATGTATTTTAAAGAACCTCCCCCGACCCTCCCCCTAAAAAAACTTCAATTATTTTCAGTAATTATATTGTTGGTAGTAATGTTGGTATTGATATTCTGGGACTTTTGGGTGGATATTGTGGGATTATGCTAAAGACTAAGTATATGATATTCCATCATTTCTGGCAATGAAAACTGGAATTCTTAGCATGAGAATTAAAAGAGACACAGGTTAAAGAAATTAAGGAAAAACTCTGTAGCTTGGAATTTAAGAGGGGCATAGAGTACTGGTATAAACGCATGATGCATTTTATCTTAAAACAACAACAACAAAACATATTACCTATCTTAGTCCACAAAAAGGGCCTAGAAACCTACTAACCCAGTCTCAACGAGCATCTTTATGCTCTGACTGCAGTCTCCAAATACCATTCCCCAGTAAAAATAATCAGGCCTCCTTGAAAAAAGTGTTGCCTTCTGGTCAGGCAGGAAATATGAGGTGGCCCTGGAACATCTTGTCATATCACTTAGCAAGGATGCCACCAATGAAAACTAGGGTCATGGCAAACAGTCCCAGGAGCCAGCTTAAAGAGCCTCTCTCACTGGCCAAAAATAGGACAATTTGAGCATCCGCAAGAAAAATAACTTCAGTGAACTGAAATGAATCAAGTATGTTTAAACCTATGAACTGCTAATCACACACACTGTTCACCCCTGGAGCATTAGAGTGAACAGCTCATTATTTTGAAAACCAGATAATCACGCATTTAGTCTGCCTTTCCTATAAAATTTAACACTGGGTAACCAAACGGTATATGAAGGGATGCTTCTACCTATAGAGGTATTTTTACCTAATAAATGAAGAGATAGTAGAGTATCATAATTTTTCAATCCCTAATTATTAGTAATTAGTGATTAGCAAAAGCTAACATTACAAAAAGAGACAACCAACAGTGTGTAAAACAGGCATGCAATCAGCAAATTTCAAACTGAGGGAAACCCTCCAGGGGAAACAACGCAGTTTCTTCAACAAATAAATTACAAGGGGAGAAATGAAAGAGAGATGGTGGGGAACTAAAATGTGAGTGGACTGCAAATCAGCCAACATCAGCGTCACCCTGGAATTTGTTAGAAGTGCAAGTTCTCAAGCTACACTGCAGTCTTATCAGAAACTCTGCAGTAGGGCCCAGCAGTCTGTGTTTTAACAAGGCTTCTAGGTGATTCTGATGTATTCTAGTTTGAGAACCACGATAATAGATTAGAAGAGATTTACAACGCTTGTCAACCAACTGATTCAAAAAAACTGTAAAAAATTTTGACATCTATAGACAATTATCCTACAAGGAACTGTCAATTTTTTAAAGTGTGAAAATGGTATTGAGATATATAGAGAGATTAGATATTCTTTAAAGCCCTGAAACGTTTATGAGTAAAAGATACAATGCCAAGGATTTACTTTAGAATAATATAAGAAGAATAGAAGCAAGAAGGGGTAGACATAAGATTGGCCATGAATTAATTGCTGAAGATGAATAATCAGTATCTGGGTGTTCTTTATACATTTTTTTAACTTTCATTTATTTTTGAGGTTTTTTCCCATTCTTAAAAAGCTTTAAAACTCAAAGCAAGAAGTAAATTCAAAGAAAATAAAAGACTATAACTTAAGCAGAACTAATCCAAAAAAGGAGAAAGTATATGGTGCTTTTACTTGTATTGAAGGGCAGGACTGAAATACACAATATAAGTTTAAGTTATGTTGAAAAAACCCTACTACACACTAGCCTGTGACAAAATGATTTTGATTTGGATGTAAGGGAAAATTCTGGATGCTCATCAACCCACTGATGTCATTTTAAATTCCTAAACAAACTGAAGAGAATAATTTACAAATGAGAGAAGAGGAACCACAATCTGGTCAAAGTCATATGAGTACACTTGTTTGCTTTCCAAGTTTCAAACTGGCTTAGATTTTGAAGTCTTATCTGTTAATAAATTTAGGTTTACCTGCATTTTTAAAAAGTTTACTACTAAGTATATTATGAGCACAACCTGAGTAGCCTAATGTAAATATTAATAATGCTTGTTTTTTTTTTTTTAACTAGGAAGGGGACAATCTATCCTTTACATAAGCAAAGTAGCCAAATCACACGTTTTGAGAGCTGTTCAGAGGCTTCTCTGGCTTGAAATGTCATCTCCACTAATTCAGTGATGGTCTGGATTTAGAGTCACCCAAATGACTAGTCTTGAAAATTTTTCAGGGCAAGTAAATTAAAAAGCTAACTGTGAGGCTACAGTAGCCCTTGAATTTACATTCTTGTGATGTGATAGCTCTGTTTCCTCTGCATACATCCTTAATATTGTGTCCTTTTAGGAATAGGGTGAATAGATGTTCTCTCTCCTCCTTCCTTCTCCTTTTTTACTTCTCCCTCTTATTTACCCTCTTCCACTGAAATATACTTTATGAAAACCTCAACATCCATTAGAAATCTGATTAGAAAGCACCAGCTTCAAAACCTAAGAGGGCTGATGGGAGGATGAACTATATATTTTCACTTTACAAGGTAATGGCAGAATTTTGAGTGTGGTTTCTTCTCTTTTTATGCTTTATTTTAGATATTCCATCATTTTCTCATCATTGTTATCATGATCATCGTTTCCCCCTTTATCACCCTTTTAATTTTTATTTTGCCTGGAACAGTTAATCACATGGAGAAAAGACCTTTAGAAGTTATCACTATCCATTATCAGGCATCTTTTCTGATAAAGGTAACCTTGCAATAGAGATTTCTGTTCCATTTCATCTGCTTTCAATGAGGTCCTGCTGTGCTCCCTCCCACCCATGTGATGGCTTTGAGGAAACAAGAACAACAACCAAAAGAGACAAAGACTCAACTTTAGAGCTCATATATTCTAGCTGAGGAGATAAGGGAAAG